ATTTGTTAATTAATTTGAGTTTGTATTTGTTGTGCAACAATATTTGTTGTGCAGTACTATTGAGGATTATGAAATCTGTGAGGTTTTATTTAATTGATTAAAACATTTCTTTTTGTAGTGAAACGATGATTCTAGTGAATCCCTAAAGGGGCCTCTTTCTCAAATGTAGCTTTAGAAAATCTTTCATTTCTGTTTGATTGAGTTCTATAAATGAGGGAGTCATCTAGTTTATATATATATATATATATATATTTATATAGCATTATATACAGTATATTTAGTACAAATGTATCTTTTCAAATTTGATGTTGTAACCCTAACCAGAATTGTTCATTCATTTAAAAACACACATTGGCACAGAACAGAGGTCTGCCCTAATTCACAAAGATCCACCCACTTGGTGATTTCTGGCCTTGCCACTGTTACTGAATAATGTTCAGTAGTTTTCATTAGCATTAAAAGCTAGTAGTGTCAATAACATGTAATATTATACATAATATTGCTCACTAATGCTGCTGTCCGGCTCTAGCTGGGCTTTTCACACAGTTCAGTCTGTCGCTCACTGTATTTACACTCATGTAGTGCTGGAGGATAAAGATGTCCCAGCATGACTCTGACTTGCTGTTTAAAGCTGTTTAAGTCTAATTACCTCACCTTGAATATGCAAAGAACAGAACTGCTGACTGGACCGCCCTGAGAGCCAACACACACACATATACAGACTGGTTTTAGATCACAGTTTGATGCCTTCATAAGAGGAGCTGTTGGCTAAACTAAAGGCTTGATTCTGTGTGTGAGGATAACACGTGTAAGTGTGTGTGGATGTTATTTGGATGTGTGTGCTGTGGAAGAGTAAGCAGGGCAGACTTTGATCGGAGGAGATCAGAGTGTGTGTGTGTGTGTGTGTGTGTGTGCGTGCGTGCGTGTGTGTGTGTGTGTGCTAGCAGTGCCAGATGTCTGGAGTTCTGCTCACTTCCTGCCTCTCATCCTGCTGCTGTCACCCTAGAGACACACACACACACACACACACACACATTATCACTGTCTAACCTCTCCATATCAAATGTTCGGGAGGTCATGGCCAGTGTGTTACACTGAGACCCAAACACACTTCTCCTGTCTTTATTGGACGTTAAGTGCACTGCTGAGTCTCTGATCTGATCGCATCTGTGACAGAATGTGGTATATGTTTGTGACTGAACAGAAAGTCCATCACCGTTCCACATAGCCTGTGATTTTAACTCTACACTGATGCTGTACAACCAGCACAAACTCTAGAGCCTTAATGGAATATTCAGTAACACTTTAGTCTCACTATTAATAAGTAGCTTATTAGCATGCATATTACTTGCCTTATTCTGTATTTTAGATTCCACATACCTAAACTTAACAACTAACTTACTAACTATTAATAAGCAGCAAATTAGGAGTTTATTTGTGCAAAAGTCGTAATTAATAGTGAATATGCGTTCCCTAATCTAAAGTGTAACTAATTATTCACATCAATTAGAGAAAGTCCATCACCGTTCCACATAGCTTGTGATTTTAACTCTACACTGATGCTGTACAACCAGCACAAACTCTAGAGCCTTAATGGAATATTCAGTAACACTATATAACCAGCTCCCTATGCATGGTATTTTGGATGTAGTAAACTTGCTTAGTAGCTCACCTGGTACAGCACTGAACTTGCGATGTGAAGCTTTCAAAAAATCACTTGCAGAAGCTGCAATGTCATGGTTGCTTCAATAAATAAGTTTTTATCTGATGGTTGCTGTGCAAAAGTCGTAATTAATAGTGAATATGCGTTCCCTAATCTAAAGTGT